AATCTTCCAAAGAACACTGAGCTGTTTGTTTGTAGAGGTAAGATAACTCATTCTCTCAGTCTCATATGACACGATAACTGCTCCAGCGAAGTAGAGAGGAAAAAAAATTATCTGAAACGGTCAAGGGGCTCCATAATATATATATATATAGATATACCGTTATGTTTATCTGTGTCTTCAAATATCAACAATTTTAGCACCCCTATACTCAGAAGTCTATAATCAGAAGAGTGCTTAGAAAGAGACGGTTATAACTGCTAAGTATGATGCATATATGTGGCCTTCAGTTCGCTGTCAGAATATCAGCTGGCGCAGACATATTTACTCCCGCGTATTATTGACACAGGAAAGAAATTCAATGCCTCAAAGACATTGCGTCTTGTGCAGGAACCGCTAGAAAAAGATAAAAACTATGTATTTTGGTAGTGTTGACTTATGCTGACGTTTCAATAAATAACATACAACTCTCAACGTCTAATCGACTACTAGCATTTGTCACACACAGGATGTTCATATTATACGCTGAAATTATAAAACCATCTTTTAAGAGGATTTCAGTGAAGAATTGATCATTATATGTTATATAGTTCAAACGTTATGATAAATAAAGTGTTTTAGAGCAAAATTTAAATGGCCACCACTCCTCGTCAAGCAGCGCGGAATTTAAATTCCCACGTTGAAGGGTTAAGTGTCTGCTTTACTACTACATAGCTAATTGAGATGAGCGAAGAAAAATTTACCAGCTCTAAGTCTATTGTTCTTAAACTTCCCTTTGAGGCAACATTTAAGTGTCATGAAAGAGGCCTGTACTCCACTCTAAACGTAAATTTTAAGTTTTGATTGTTGGGCTTTTCGACCTTTGACCATTTTCTGCTGATAAAACATTCAAATTTGATTTCTTACAAGATACATAAATACCAACTTACAATAGTCATCCACAATGTCAGGAGCATCAAGAATTATGTCTGGACTTTGTGGAATATATCGAGTCAAAATCTTTCCTGAAGGTCGTGCCGTGGAATACTTGACGTTCAGGGGATCCAAGAATCCCTGCAATTGAATATACATAAATGGGTTTATACTACAATGCCATGAAAAAATTGCCAAACAGAACTCAACATTAGAACTATTTATAAGCTTAACAAATTGATTACAAAAAATAGATGAGATAAATAATTTTTACTTTCGTCACACATGTTGACAGAATATCAAGTCAAATTTATTTCTTGGAAAAACTACATTTAATAAAATATTTAGAAACAGTTTTAAGATCAGATTATAACTTCTAGTTATAGCAGAACTTCTCGAGTGATTTACAAGATGCCCATTAATTTTCAGAATACAGTGTTCAAATAACAGCTACTTTCAAAACACAGTAGTTGAACATTTATACTACAGGCTTAACCAAACTTTTTAGATAGAAACCAAATTTTACTTTTGGATACGCTCTACATGCAGCTCTAAAATATTTCAATTTGAAGACTATTAGATTAACTTGTAAGTGCTAAATTCCTGTTAATGAATGCAGAAATTCTCTGGCTAACAAAAAACTGATCTAAAAATAAATACTGATACAACTAAATACACGAGCAATCTAGCCCTATAAAACAAGCAACATATCACCTGAAAATACTTCAGAATTGAAGTATCTGTTAACAACACACACACACACACACACATGAGATTCCTGCAACAAATAAGAAAAGAATGCATTGTGGAAATTGTTATGTGTCATTTGCAGTGACCAACATGCTACTTTGGATTTTACTGTATGTGCTGATCTTCCACATCGTAACACTAATTCTCTTAGTTGGCAAGCAGCAAGATTAATAATTGTTGTGGTGAGGCAATCACCTACGAATTACCTGCTGTACTACAGTGAAACAGAAAAGTAGAAAACTTACATCCGGCGTTCCTGGTGCTTTGTTCTTGTATGACAGAAGCCTCATATTTCTAACATCTCTGCCAAACAGATACTCTGACATGAAGCACTGATATCCTTTCTATGAAGGGCTTATCAATTTATCATCTGGTTGTTGTTCCTGGGTTACCTGACAAGAAATCACATCAAAGATCGAACCCCATTTTTCTTTGTTATTCTGACACACACTGACATGAATAATGAACGTAACTTTCGTAGGTAGTTACCCACTTCTCAAAACAATGCATCATGGCACATTCCTCAATATTGCTTGTACCACCTACAAGACAACATTTTAAACAGTGTCTATATACTACAGAAATACCAGGAAACATCACGTGTTTAGTGACTCAATACAGTTCTCAAACTTTCCACATATCATGAGGTAATCTCTCAAGGTTCACAACCATTACAACCTGCATGTTTCATAAACACCAACATATTTATTACCTTATAATGTGCAAGTTCAACATTGGTTGCACTTCTAACAGGAATAAATCGATCACCACCGATCGGAGTCTTGGATCCTTTTTCCTGATGATGGCGTTGTTGAATATGAACAAGCACCTGTTAAAATACAGAAAATGGTTAAAATACTATTTAACAATAATGTACACATAAACTACAGACTCCCAAATAAATAAAATATGAAAAGACATCAAGTATACATTTCACTGACTCATTTAATATTTATTTTAATTTGTCATCTATTATGAATCTTACAGGAATCGCCTTTTATCGGCCACACAAAAACCCATAGCCAATTTGTAAATAACACACACCAATCAACAGCATATTTGTCATACCACTATTAACCCTTTGGCCACTACGTGCAGGACATCCCTTGTTAGCACAGACCTTACCTCATAGTTTTGTCCAAGATATTCCATGATGGCATTGGACCCTCCTCTGAAATTATCACCAAAATATTGTGTCAGCCATCCACTGAGTCTCTCTAATACAAAATGTTATTTTCCAC